CACCAAGGCTGAAAGTTCCGTCAGAGTTTTTAAAGTACAAAGTAAAGTATAAAGTTTCCACGGCCGACCTGTAGAGAAAAGAAAATCATTTGTCACCATTTAGTTTTCCCGCCATTTAAATTACTTTTAATTGCAATGAATGATCTTTGCCGAGAAGTAGCTGTTAGACCAGGGGTGGCCGAAACTTTTTTTTCAAAATGTGACTAGCGATTCGGTTCGGTATATTCGTTGGACGTAGAATGCTGGGTGAAAGATTATAAATAAAAAGTACAAGAACAAAACCTAAACTTTCAAAGATAGGATCGACAGAAATTGCCTTCGTACCGATGTTTGACGGCCGTATCGAAAGTTTGCCCAGGTCTGTGTGTGTAGACCCTTGTTTGTTTTTCTGTTGTAAGTTGGTGTTGGTAGCTGTAAAAAAAACTCAGTCTGAGGAGGGTGGGAGGGGAGAGTGGGGGGTGGGGGGTGTTTCTCTGCTGCAGGGCCTTCAGCTTATCAGTGCAGGGCAGATGTGGGCCCCAAGGCCCTGGATGACAGGTATGGGGAGACTGTTCCATATTTGGGAGCAGGTGTAACAACAACCCCCCTCACCTGACCCCCCCCCCTTCTCCTTTGATGAAGACCACAGGGAGTGTTCCTCTCCCACGTTCATCTGTCCCACACCGGGCTCTGTGGGACAGGTTCCTGAGGGACAGTGAGACTCCTGCTGGTGAAGAACAGGCTCTGCCCAACCATCACAAAAAAAGGGTAGTGGGTTTTACAACATCAGGGTCGTGGACCGGTACGGACTGGTCGGTCATTTGTAACTAGGAGAAGAATTGTGAACTATTTGTTTGCATGTCGTCAATAATCAGTGTGAAAAGACCTTTTGTTTTGAAAAAAATGCCCACATTTTCTTGCAACGGCAAACACCTGCGGTCTTGTCAAAATCAAGGTCTTTGTAGAGCTTAGGCAGAGTTTGACCTTGACGACCTTTAGATGTGTTTTATCTGTAGTTTTCCCCAGCAGTCATGTCCAATCAAATAGGTGGCGCTCACCAAATGTTTTGCCCGCCGTAGTCGTAAACAAACGCCGCTCCCGAAGTGCAGACTCTCCGTCTGTCCTTCGCGTGGGTGTCTGGAACGAAGAGATTTCTTGGGAACATATTTGCGAGCGCTGTACAAATGTGAGGGTGTTCTGAGTGCACTTAGAGGGGAGTCATTTGGGGGAGGAGGTATTTCAGGTCTGCTGTAATATGTGGTCATTTATTATTAGCCGCGCTCGATGAATAATGTATGATTAAAAGGAGTAATGGATACAGTGGGACTCGTCAGAATAAAAGCACAAATCCATTTGCTCTCCCTGTAGTAAATCTACAAGCTTGTCCTTGGGCTAATTTCCAACCGGGGACTCAGCGGCAGAGTGGGAGCATGTCCTCGTAACAGTTTTGGGGGA